CGAATACATAGTTTTAAATTTAAAGCATTAGCTACCTCTCAATGAACGGCACAGTATAATAACGATTTTATCGAAGAGCATTTTCACTGTGAAGCGGCCGAACCCCGAACGAAAAACCAATTTAGACGATGTTTCTGCTGAGTCAGCAAATTTGACTTTCTCGTGTTATAATTGCCTTCGGAGAAGAGTTGAAGACGTTGTTGCGTGAAGTAAGGAGATTCAGTTTTCCGCGCTTACTGAAGAGAATTATTGTCAGAGAATTACGAAGCAATAAATGCAACCGAGAGTATTTTTGCTAATTAATTTCCTGAGCGTTGACAATAATGCATTGTTTGATTTTGTATAGAAAATGCATACATTCACTTTCTACAGGAACACTTCCTATACCTAAAAAATAAAATATCTATAAAACGTAGACACCTTAATACAGATAACAAAATGAATTTTGTAAATAATGGCTGTACCTTTGTGGCGCATGGCGGTTTCATTCCTTCAAAAAATACTTCTATTTTTTTCGCTAAACTATCTAAAAAATCTACAAATAAAAGAGCAATTTTTTTGTTAACTTTGTTTAACTTGTTAACTTTGAATTTTACTAATAAAACACATTTATCTAAGTAAATTTGAAATTCGAATTCATATACTTAATGTAATTTTAATAGAACGTTGACGGTTTATAATAGACGTACCGGGTGGCCAACTAAGAATGGACGCCGGTTGTATTAGCCAATCAGGTATTTTAAATATTACTAATGTAATGATCGCGAAATTTGTAATTTTTTTGATATAGGGTATTTTGCTCTATCTTATAAAATAAAGTGGTGGGGGAAGGTTAAACTTGCTTTTATTAAAATAAGGATAACTCTGATTTAGGTTACCCGATTTAAGCAATCTAGGGCACGTTTAAAAGATATTTTCTTCCTTAATGATCTCCAGTATAAATTTTGTTCCCATAATTTTTTTCGTGGTAGCTAGAGGGCGCTGTTTGACATCATAACAGATATTGCGCTTTTGCATAAAAAAATTAAATAGGAGGCTATATTTGTCTTTGCACAGTTAAATAGAGTACAAAATTTCCAAAATATCAGCATAAACCGCAACTTTCTATCTTCTCTCTAACCGGAGATATTAAGAGAACAAACCATGTTAGGCTGCCGCTTAGTATTATATGATCTAAAAATTATAGTAGTAGGCTAACAAGAAGAGGTAAATTGGTTATGTCAAAATATCAAAACATATATTGTAATACCATTTAATTGTTATTTATCCATGTTCGTTCTTGATTCGACCCCATAAATTAAAACCCAGTCATATTGAATCCGATGACCTAGCTGGCTGGCCATGGGAATATGCAGCTCCAGCGTCTCTATCTACTAAAGTAAGTGGTATCCAAGAAGCCCCACACATTCATAGCAAAGTAAGCGGCACAGCTACACTAACTGCATCAACTACACCAACTCCGTTCATGCGGATGAAATTGCAACAAATGCAATTTCAACATGATGGATCCTCTAACAAAATTGGCAATTGCGGCTTAAACATTTACCGACCAATGGTCTTGGTGCTGAACTACTACTTGCATCTAGGGTAGATTTGGACCAGTAGTACATATTGTTAAGATTTGAAATGATATATGAAAAGTGACCCAAACGACATAAACTTTATAATATAATAATAGATAACACAAATAACAGGTAAAACACGAAAACAAGTGAAATTAAGGACGAACTTGGATTAATAACTAAATGACATACATGAAATAAATCCCTAGTTTTCGGCCATGCGAAATTCGGCTGTTTTCTCTTAAAAGCAATATGGCGGCACAAAATTCCTAGAAATTATACCCAAGAAATTCGTAAAAATTATATGGATGGATGATAATGTTACATAAACATGTTTAAATATTTATGACGTAATTTTTTTAAGAAAACGCCAGAAATTCGGATGCATGAAAACTGAACTTAAACGTTTTGATATTTTGACGTAACCAATTTACCTCTTCTTGTTTCCTAGTCTACTACTATAATTTTTAGATCATATAATACTAAGCGGCATGACATTATTTGTTCTCTTAATATCTCCGGTTAGAGAGAAGATAGAAAGTTGCGGTTTGCGCTGATATTTTGGAAATTTTGTGCTCTATTTAACTGTGTAAAGAGAAATATAGCCTTCTATTTAAATTTTTTATGCAAAAGCGCAATATCTGTTATGATGTCAAACAGCGCCCTCTAGCTACCACGAAAAAAATTATGGAAACAAAATTTATACTGGAGATCATTAAGGAAAAAACGCTCTTTTAAACGAGCCCTAGTTTGTTTCAATTGGCTAACCTAAACCAGAGTTACCCTTATTTTAATAAAAGCAAGTTTAACCACAGATAACATATAATCCAGATGGCCATTGCTTACGGAACAGCATGTTTTCGATGAGACAGTTCCCTATTAATGACACAGAGGGCGCCTATAGCCAAATCTAATAATATTTTTAAAACGAACGAATTTGGAGCCACACCACGGCCACGCGATGTGAAGCGACGTAGCCGGTTGTTCACATTTATAAGCAAATTCCCGGTCAAACCCAGGGAAAATGTATATTCGGACTTTAATACTAGACAATTGGATATGAAAAGACTAGTCGCAGTGGATGTTTGAAAGTAAGAATTTCTAGATGCATATATATGCTATTTATAGCCATGAAATTTATAATTTAGATTTTATTTTTATTATTTGTCTCTTAATATTCATTAGCTGAAAATAAGGGTAAAGGTTATCTATATAGTAATAAATAAAATTTGGCACATAGGTTCCTTAAGTGATGTAAATGAGCACTAAGAAGGGATTTTTTGAAAATTCGACCGCTAAGGGGGTGAAATTAGGGATGAAAAGCTGCATAAAAATTTGTTAAAATCTGGTTTAAGAGTATGAAATTTTTCACGAGTGCTCCTTGACTGACGTAATTGAACACTAAGGGGCAATTTTTGGAAATTCGCTCGTTAAGGGGGTGATATGGGGGGTACTTTTGTATACAAAAAAAAGCATGTCCTAGGACTACGAAATTTTGCACAGAGGTGCCTTAAGTAGCGTAACTTAACAGTTCGATTATACAAAGCGATTTTAGGAAATTCTTCTACTAAGGGGTGAAACTGGGGGTGAAATTTTGCATACTTTTTTAAAATTAATCCGAGGAGTTTGAAATTTGGAAATTGTTAATTAAGTGACGAAAGTGAGTACTCAGAAGCAAATTTTGGACATTCATCCCCTAAGAAATAAGGGATGAAAATTGGTATAAAAATTTGTTAAAATCGTTTTTAGAAGTATGAAATTCTGCGTAGACGTTCCTTATGTAACTTAATTTAGCACTAAGAGGCAATTTTAAAAAATTTTGCCTCTAAGGGGGTGAAATGAAGGGTGAACGTTCTAAAAAAAATCTGTCCTAGAAGTATGAAAATTTGCACAGAGGTTCATCAAGTGATGAAAGTTATACTCAGAAACGAATTTTGGGCATTCATCCCTTAAGAAATAAGGGATGAAAATATGTATAAAAATTTGTTAAAATCGGTTTTAGAAATATAAAATTCTTCGCAGACGTTCCTTATATAAGGTAATTTAGCACTAAGAAGCAATTTTTCGAAATTTTCCCTCTAAGGGGGTGAAATGAGGGGTGAACTTTCTGAAAAAAATCTGTCCTAGAAGTATGAAAATTTGCACAGAGGTTCCTCAAGTGATGATGAAAGTGAGTACTCAGAAGCGAATTTTAGGCATTCGCCCCATAAGAATTAAGGGATGAAAATTTGTACAAAAATTCATTAAAATCGGTTTTGGAAGTATGAAATTTTGCGCAGACGTTCCTTATGTAACGTAATTTAGCACTCAGGAACAATTTTTGGAAATTCGCCCTCTAACGGGGTGAAATGAGGTGTGGGCGTTCTGAAAAAAAAATTGCTTGTTATTGCTAAATTACGTTATATAAGGAACAAACAGAATTTCATACTTCTAAACCCGATTTTAACAAATGTTTGTACAAATTTTCATCCCTTATTTCACTCTCTTAGGAGATGAATGTCCAAAATCCACCTGTACAAAATTCCACACTCGTAGGACAGTTAGTTTTAACTTTCTATTGTTAATCTAAGGTTTTAACTAACAATTTATTAAAGTGCAACTATATAAAAATTATACAGGGTGGCGCCTCTCATACGACTCGGAGGCTCCAAGGAGAACGACCAGTTCGTATTGAAATGAAATTTTGTGAGCATATGTAAGTTAATTCTTCGCACGTTTTAAAAATATAGAGAGTTCTACAGGGTGTCCCCAAAAAAGTTACACATCAAATTTGTGTTTTTTGTAACGGAATACCCCCTTTATTAATTAATTTTTAGATTCTAAGAAAAATAAAGGTGTGTTTTATTAGGGAAGTATATGACTGAAATGTAAGGTTTTAGACTTACTTAAGATTTTGAAGAACAATTTTTAAATTTCAAGAAAAACTACCTAAATTGGAATTTACTCTATTGCACTTTAAATCATATTAAAACCTGACCCATAAAAGTTATACAGGGTGGGGCAAAATTAATGCTGAACATTGGTATAACCTGTATAACTCCTTTAATACCCACCCTGTATAACTCCTTTAGTTTAATTGAATCACCCAGAATATTATTCCGATATTCAATGGGAAATTCATGTCACTTCCAAATACTATTAAGGTTGCCGGCCTACCCCTCAAACAAAGATTTTCCTAGATATTTTCATTTCTATCATTTAGTGTGAATAGATCTTTATTATTTGATAAAATCTAGGGTGGCTGTGATATGTCTGACGTTACTTCAACATAGCTGTCAAATTAGTTCAACTTTAGCAACTAGTTATCATTTTGTGTCAGTTCGTCAGTTGAAACAAAAAAAAATCTAAGAAATTTTCCGAAAATAGAAACTTATCCTACATCAGAGAGAATTGATATGATTCTATTAGTTAGCTCCTGATTTTATCTAGTCTGGGAGGCAATTTTTGGAATTGATCGTTTACATGCGAACGCGCAACTTTACGAGTGTTAGAAAACGAATGCGTTTTAAAAATTCAATTTTTCAGCCATCTTCGCATATTAATTTGCGATCGTCGTGAGCGTACGCAAAATTACGAGCCGGAATTGTGGCAACGTCGACAAATCACAGTGAAAAACTAAATTCTCTCCAGTTTAACCGTATTTTTTACCGTTTGTTTACTTTTCATTACTTGGTGTCGATAATCGAGGCTTGTTGTTAGTCAAGTGGGTTAATATTAAAAAAATAAAACGTGGAACTAATGTTACAGACAAACAAAAAGCACATCCTATCACTCCCGGGAACCTATGTATTCGGAAAAATCTACAATGATAATACGTAATTATGCAATAACTACCCGTATTGCAAAACCATACTGTTCGCTAATTCTGTTGAGTTTTTCAAAATTATTTGGAAATTCAACCCATTGATCAAATATCTCTGGATGGTTTAGAGCGTTGATAAATTCGTCAATTGAAGGAGAAACCGAGGCTTGGCACATATCGATGTATTTATTTAAAGCAACATCCGGCTGGTAACAACCACTTCCCTAAAATTTCAGAACAGCTAAAATCTGAAATTTAATGTTAGTTCATAGATATACAATAATAGAGAAAAATGTTACCCGGCTTTGCACATCCAAATCAGTCTCTCTTCTTTGTGGTCGCATGTATGACTCAAGTAACTGAATAAAAACACGGCACAAGTCTTTGGATAACCGAAATATTTTAATAAACTGCCTTTCATTCAGTTTTATGAACGCATTTCCCCGGATTGCGCAAAACATTACGGCGGTATTGCAGTTCTGCATTTTCTAGGTTTCGAATGGCCAAAACGTTCATTAAGTCATCCATTACTATTATTGTTACACCTAAACCCAACTACAAACTTGGAACTAATCAAATCTAATATGCGCACTTAAAAAACATATCCTTACGATGCTGTCGATCCACTCGCAAGACAACGCAGGGAAATTTGCTAATACGCAAAAATGCGAACACTAAAAAATTGGATTTTAGTGTTGATCGAAAAGTTGCGAATAATTTGCAAGGAAACGAATGGCCAAAAATTGCCCCCCTGGGCCTTTTTATTTGATTAACATATATCAAATAAAAAAGCCCAGACTAGACAGTGTTAACAAAACTCGACCAAACCAAACCAAACTATTGTCTGAAACTGCATTTTTTTACTTACTAAATATGAATTTTACTTTGTTTTGTTGATCTTTGAAAGGTGTATAAAGTCGAATCATTTTAGATTGGACATTTAAATTTTATGGGATTTTCGGGATCCCGGAATTTAATATCGGGATTTCGGAGATAAACATACACGCCGCCGGGATCCTGGGAGTTCGGGATTTCAGGAAACTCTAGTCGTGAGATTAATGATGTACAGATGCATGTCATGTTGATTTGGAAGTGACAATCGATAAGATTTATCATATAATTTTACATACCTATTAAACGACAGCGATCTTCATTTCCAAGCCCACTCCCATGCCTTTTTTTTCTATCGTACGGTATATTCACTAACTGCATTACCTACTTATAATTTATAACAGTTTATATTCACTGATTCATTTATAATTTGTATCCACTTAATATTACTTGATTTATCCATCGTAAACTTTGCATAGATATAGAAATATAACGATGGACAACTCTTAATGTGTTAAATTATACCCTACGATCGAAAAAAAAACGGCGTCCGATTGGTTTGGAAATGACGATCGATGACATTCCCCATATAATTTTACATATCAAATGACAGCGATCTTCATTTCATAGCCATCGCTGACGCCGTTTTTTTTTCGATCATACGGTATATGGTAAAAGCCATCGATCACCATTTCTAAGGTAACTTAACGCCGTATTTTTACATACAAAATGTGCAAAAAAATTCTATATGAATGAACTCACAATTTTCTATCCACTTTGTACATAAATTAGGATCTCTTGACGCATGAAACTTAAACACATGTACACCTGATTTCCGAGAAATCTCACAATTGTAAAATTGACACTTATTACCAGATATTTTAATAATAATTATCACTAATCACACAGTTGTAATCAAAGACAGTCAAAGGTATATAGTATATTACCATCACAGATTACCATATATTACCCGGCTTTTAAAATATCCATTAAAAACAAAAAACAGTAACGACATATCTAAATATTCTATCCTTGTCGCATATGGTTCGTTCCTGTATTATTCTGTGATAAGGGAAGGAATAGAGATTTTCTGTGATAAGTGGTAAAGCTAGGTTTTCATATGTACAAATTTGGCAAACTTTCCAGGAAATTCGGTCTTATTTTTATTATAAAATTATTTATCATAAACAAATTTATTGTAAAAAAAAAATTTGAACGTATATTCAAATTTTAAACGTTTCAATTAATAAATAACGTAAATCACTTTTAAATTAAATTTAAGAAAAAAAAATCAAAATTAATAAAACGTAAATCACTATAACAAATCATTATTTTAATTTCAAATTTATATTTCGAAGTTATATTACAAGTTATTTACTGTTGTCTTATACAGAGTATATCAAGACAAATGCGAAACTTTAAGGGGTGTATTCTTTGTTATTTGTCAACATTTTTAAAATAAGCTGAAGAGGTTGAAATAAACTATTTCTAATATTCGTTAATTTGACAAAAAACTGGAGCAACGGTATGGAAAAAATGGTTAGATTTGTATATTTAGAACGTTTTTATGACTTGCAATTTTTCCATTAAATTCATTATTTGAAGTTAAAAATAAAATGTAAATCATTATGTATTGGGACCAAAAAAATATTTTAGCAAAGAAGCTGTTCGCCTTAAAAACAGTTTTATTTTCTACTACTGTAAAATATTTTTACAAACGACATATAAAGATAATTGATTGACAAACATGTTTTAAGCTACCCTTCCTAAATCTTCCTTAAAATAAAAAGATTAACAGATGGGAATACATATTATACCGTATGATCGAAAAAAAAAACGGCGTCCAGTTGGCTGGGAAATGGCAATCGATGACATTTCCCATATAAATTTACATTTAAAATGACAGCGATCTTCATTTCATAGCCATCGCTGACGCCGTTTTTTCGATCATATGGTATATCAAATAAAGTATTATTAGAAAAGCTCACTAGATTGTTTTCTAGTAAAAAAGACCTTATTTTGTCACAACAGGTGACATTTTTTTGTTTTAAATCAAGTAGGTTTTAAAAAAACTACAATAGGTAAAAAAGTTTCTAAACAAATAGAATATCCAAATTAATTTATTTCCAATGACAATAATGTGTAAGTTTGTAATTAAAGTTAGTTAATAAGAATAATAGGTGTAGTATATTTCAACATCATTCACTGGTTTTAAAAACATCAAAAAATATGCATGTGTTTTCATAGTATAAATATGAATTGTTCCTTACGTTAGTTCTTATTGATATAAAAGCAAAAAAGTATAAAAATTAAAAGCTGCAATTTTATTAAAAATATGTTATTCTAACACATATTTTTTTAACTGTAATGTTCTAAATTGATCAAAATATAAATGTTATTTTTTTCCTAGGAAAAATAAAACTTCATAACTTAATTTTCATAAATAAATTTATTTCTATTAAATTTTATAGAGCAATTTGTATTACAGTTTTATTTCACATATTTTGTAATACTGCTTCGGTGCAGTGCCCCATTGCTATCTGTGAGTTCATTTAAATTATGACGACATTACTGATCTAGAAGATAAAAATGTACCTAAGTACCTTAATATTATAATCAAAAATGACTAATTTTGTAAATTATTACCTATAATGGTTAGATGAGTTGTGAATGTAAACTTCTTTACGCTGGTTTCTTGAAGTTAGGTGATATTAATTATCTTCGCATCATCATGGGCTCTAATCAACTGTAGAGTATTCGTCAATCAACCTGAAATATGTAATATTATTTACTTTATATTTACGAAAAATTATCATTTTCTTTTTATGAAAATTTTGAGTTTAAATTTAAATGTGATTAGAATAAATATACATCAGTATTTAACATTTTATCATAAGTAATATTCTATATATTATCTGTGATTTTATGCTAAAATGTTTAGTTTTGTGAAAATATTACTTACCTATAATATTTAAACGAGTTCCTGAATGTACAATTTGTTTATCACGATGTCAAGTTCTAAAATCTTGTATTGGTTGTCTAAAACTGTTTGATTTTGCTTAGTTATATTGTATCCTAATTTTATTAAACAAACTCAAAATAATGTTTATAATTACCTTCATCAGCCTTCATATCATTAAAGTTATTATTATCACTTATCATTATCAGTCATTATGTAGTTATTTGTTCATTTGTTGCTCTGTTTGTTGTTGTTTGTTTTCAAAGATCATTTTTGAGGTTAATGTCATATGAAACTTTTTCGTAATTAGGCAACTGGTAAATGACGTGTGACGATAAATTAATAAAATAATAATGAACGTATTAAGTTAAATATTTATATATTAATTTAACATATCTATTTCAGGTAATACCCTATTTCATGTTTATAAATTACATAATTTTTAATTTGGTATACCTTTAATTTTATATATTCATAATGAATTGAAATATATTTCGATATAACGTTTGGCAACAACGCAACTGAAGTGCAAGCGACATCTGTGCAAGAGAAGCAAAACCTCCCAAAAAAGTGAGAAAAGATATCTAAAAATTTCAGATTATTCAAATGTCACTCCAATATTTTTCCAAATTGGAGTGAAATTAGGGTGACAATTTTTAACACGTAAGGAGCCATCTGGATTATGTGTTATCTGTGGTTTAACCTTCCCCCACCACTTTATTTTATGAGATAGAGCAAAATACTCTAAATCAAAAAAATTACAAATTTCTCGATGATTATAATAGTAATATTTAAAATACCTGTTCACCTGCATATTTTTTAGAAAAACCTTGTTTTCTGATTGGCTATCAGTGAAACACCCCCTAGCGGATATTTTTCGAACTTGTAAATAATTTCCAGCAATTTCTCTTGGTCGATTTACTTATTAGAATTTTTTTCCCAAAGTTTTACGATAAGTAGTTTCTGAGATACAGTCGGCGTCCATTCTTAGTTGGCCACCCGGTACGTGCTAAAAAACTAAAATGTTCTTGAATAGTTTTCTCCTTAGATAGCTGGTGTATACAGGGTAGTCCGAACTGTATTCCGGAAACTTCGGCATCAGCATACTCTGCAGATAGAAATTAAAAAAAAGTTTGTATAAATGTATGTCTTAAAATGCTTAGTTTCGGAGATACAGGGTGTAGAAGTTTCATTTTTATTTCGCTTTTTTCCAAATAATTTGTGAACTAGGTACCATCAATATTTGGATGAAAATAGGTGTATGGGAGTTTTTTCGCATGATAAATTTGATTTTCATACCAATATGACTAATACTTGCAGGGGGCGCCTACGTGTGTTTTAATTGGTTTCAAGAGTAATAACTTTTCGTCCGTACCTGTATAAAACTAGTGAGTAAAAAATATATATTTACGACGTTTTTTACGTAAAACAGGTATATTGGTAAAATTCGTTACCGTGTAATGGTTCTCGAGATATTTGAAATCTAAATAATCAATGCCTGTCATTACGGACATAAATTAAACATGTTGAGTAAATAGTTATTACACTGAAATGATAAATTTGAAATGTTTTCGTGCCAAAATTTTAATAAAAACTGTTTTATCATCATTATTTCGAATAAAAATTTATGATTTGTTTTAAAAAATTTTAAAAAAAGTTCCCAAACTTAACATTTCAGTCAACTCAATATCACTCAACATGTTTAGTTTTTGTCAAGAATGCCATGTATTGACTATTTCCATTCCAAATATCTTGAGAACGGTTGCTTGTAGCGATTTTTCCAAGAGACATTTTTTATATAAAAAATCACGGAAATGTATATTTTTTCACTCAATAGTTCTATACGGGTACGCACGAAAAGTTATTACTCTTCAAAACAGTTAAAACACATGTAGGTGGTGCCCCCTACAAGTAGGAGTCATATTGACATCAAAATCAAATTTCTCATGTCAAAAAACT